CGTCTTTGTTTGGGCTTCCGAAAGCGGATGATGTCAGGAAACAGTGGTTGCAATTTATTTTTTAACTCTGTTCCTGAGCATTATAACCCCAATTTGCTATTGTGTGCAGCGCATTTTACTGAGGACAGCTTTCACATCACGAGTGAGAAGTGCCGGATTCGCCAAAAGCTTTTGTTGAAAGACGGAGCAAAGGGGGCGTGGCAGTACTGAAACACTGTCTAAGCTGTTCGCCAATCACAACGCACTGGGACAGCTAACCAATCACAACACATTTTGTTTTTCGGAAGGCGGACCTTCATCAAAGCCGGAACTAATCGAGCCGTTTGTGCCAGCCTGGGGAGAGAGGTATTGTAATCATGTAAATTATGTGAAAAATAATGTGTTTTTCGAACCACCAAGCATGAGAGCATGTTCTAGTACACCCCCAAAACAAAATCAAGACTTTGTAAAAGAGCATAATAGGACCCCTTTAAATCTTTTGGCGGTCTCCTCCCTCTTAGCAGGTGGGGTCAAATGTCATATTACAAAATGTATTACGGTCTTTTAGAATCAAAACTTTTTATAATCTTGACAAAATACATATCGTTTGAAAGGTCTGAATCTCACGATTCCATATTTGGTGGTTATTTATTTATAGTCAAATTGACAGAGAAATTTTGACATTTGTGACAGAAAAATGCATTAAAAAAATTCAGTAGAGTTTGGGTGTCAAACGGTGTCTGTTTGTGGTATAACGCCCTAAATAAAATCTCACAGGAACCTCAAATTTTTTTTATATCAACTTCAAATTTGGAACATAACTTATTTAGACATAAGGCTTTAATTTTATAGCAATTTTAGAGTAAAACCTGTTATGAAAAATAATTATTTTATATAAAATAAAAATAGTACAGTGTGTTTTCTTTACAGTAAATGTAAACTTCTATAACTTTTTGATACTTTCATATTTTGAAATAATTTCACTTCGTCTCCTTTAAAAAGAGTCGACTACCACCTTAGTACTTAATTAAACTCCAAACAACATAAAATACTCAAAAAGAGTGGCGCACCGTCTTAAAGAAGCACTAAACTGGCGCTCTAGCGGTTAATAAACAGAACTGCACACATCCCGCGGAAGAACATTCCAACCGGAGCTACTTCTCTAAGTTTATGTCTATGGCGATTCAAGCAGGTATGTGTTACTCCGCACCTGTGACGACCCGACCAGGCTACACTAGTCCAAATAGAAGTACTTATTATAAGTGTACCGTAGTGATTCGGAATAAGACAAAAACGTGGTTTGGAAGATTAATTCATGATGTATTCGCTCATTATATTTTGAACACAGAAGAAGTTACATAGTGCTGCTTTAACAGAATGTAATTCTATGTCTATGTGGCTATTTAAGCTTGTATTTGCAAAGAATTATGTTGTATTGTGTTTACCTGTAATCAATATCCAGCAATACTCTTCATTGTAGGACTCTTGCCCTCCATATTCCGTAACTTAATCACCTCATGTAATCTGTGAATGTGTAAGAGAATATTTCAGTTGCAAAGTTAAAACGTGGAGATACATTACATTGGATATTTTGCCAATTTTACTGACAGGAAAATGATTGGACACACTTTAAGACTTTTTAAATATACTAATATGTATAGTAGTAACAACTTATGCTTACCGTGGTGTCCCAACACAGAGAATTTTCTGGAAGCCTAACCCCAAGAGCATATCCAGGAGGAAATGACAGCTCCGGTCCACAAACAGATATTGTGTGTTACTCTTCTTTTTGTCCAGAGGGCCTTTTCAATCGCTGCACTGTGATGTCCTCAGAAAGTGCCTTGTGTTTTGCATGATTCGCCGATTCCCCAGGGAGGATCAACAGCTGACAGTCCACACAGAGCCTTCTCTGCTCCAGCGGGAGAGAAACAAACGCTCTAAATCTGTCAAAGAAACAAATATGCACATATGAAAGATTTTGGTGGGTTGTAGTATCTCCCATAAACAGACATGCCAGTATCTTATTTGATGAGTGTAGCATGGTTTATTAATTATTGGGGGAAGTCGTGGCCTATTGGTTAGAGAGTCGGACTCGTAACCCAAAGGTTGCGAGGTCGAGTCTCAGGACCGGTAGGGATTGTAGGTGGGGGGTGTGAATGTACAGCACTCTCTCCCACCTTCAACACGTGATACCACGACTGAGGTCCCCTTGAGCAAGGCACCGAACCCCCAACTGGGGCTTCAGCAAAAAATGGCTGCCCACTGCTCCGGGTGTGTGTTCACGGTGTGTGTGTGTGTGTGTGTGTGTGTGTGCACTTTGGATGGGATAAATGCAGAGCACTAATTCCGAGTATGGGTCACTATGGTCTGAGGCAAGCATTCTTGCCTCAGATATCTGAAGCATAAATTAATGAATCAAGTGAATGAAATGCTAATATTCATACATCTGTTTTTTTGTCTTCTTTCATTGGGTTTTAATTTTTGTTGTACATGCAGATTATGTCTTACATTCTTGTGTTCAGCCATCATTTTTTTACTTTTTATAATAACCCTATAAAGCTTACTTTATTTAATACATGAATTTCTTAACGTTGCTGAAAAACCTGTTGCACACAATCTACTACGTGCCTCCTGTTTCGAGATATATCCAGCTGCAGACCAGCAGTCACAGAACCGCAGTCACAGAACCGCAGCCACAGAACCGGAAGTGAGGGGCGGAGTTATTGACAACGAGAGAGCACGGTGAGTATTCTGTAATGTTTTTGCTATCATATGTTTGAGAATTATCATATATATTACGTTAAGAATTTATCTGCTAAGAACTTAATGTGTGCTTGGCTTTATTATCTTATATTGAAACTTGAATTTGTTGTCATACTTTATAGTATATAACTTTTTTCTGTGGCTGTGTCGATTAATTTTCGGATGCATGCTGTAAATGGGCCTTGTGGTGAAGTTTTGAAGACGTTTATTTTTCATAAAAATAAATAGTTTGCTTTAATTTATTTAAACTTGAATTTGTTGTCACACTTTATAGTATATAACTTGTTTCTGTGGATGTTTCGATTTATTTTCGGATGCATGCTGTAAATGGGCCTTGTGGTGAAGTTTTGAAGACGTTTATTATTCATAAAAATAAATAGTTTGCTTTAATTCCCTCTGTTATATGCATTGTTTGTGTGTTAATATTACCTTGTAGTTTAGTTATTTTAATCCAATTTGTCATCATTGAGATAATTGTGTGTGGCTTCATCTTTTGTAGAGACATATAAGGATTCAAAGAGGTGACACATTACCTGAGCTGCAGCAGTGCAACAAGTGTTACAGCAATCACCAGCAATTAGGTAATTAATTAAGCCAGCCAAACTGGTCAAGTTAAAAAGTCATCTTCAAATCCACTTCAACATGCAGTTGTCTGTGGAGGTATGAATATCTTG